TATTGTAACATGTAACTTTTTAAAGGCATTACATAAATTCATTTAATATGTGCCCATTTGTGTATAATAAAAAAGTAAAGCAAGTTATTTTAATTTTTATTAATATCAAAATTTTGTAATTAGTTTTTGTTACGCCCATCTCCTTAATTATAACAGTAACTATTAAATTAGTTAGTTATGGCTAAGTTACACTTAATATATATATAGTTATAATTACGTAATACTAAGTTATAATTACACTTTTATATATCTACACTGAGAAAAAAATATAATCAATTTTAAGAAATATTTAGAGTTCAATACTGCCAACTAAACATTTACTTATAATAAAAAATATTTGTTCAGTAAAAAAAAAGATTGTTAAATCAAATTAATATTTCTTGTAGCAAATAAATATATGTTTATATTTAATAAATATTTAGTTGGCAGTATTCAACTAAATATTTATTAAAATTGAATATATTTTTTTTCAGTGTAGTTACTAACTGATTTAATAATTGCTTTTATAATTACTGTATATATTTCTCAAATTTGTTATATATTATTATAAACATGAAAACAGTAAGATTAATTATAACTTTATTACATGAGTAACGAGTTACTCCTCGTCACTCAATATGTAATATACATATTTTACTATTTCTTCGACGTTTACCTTTTACGACATTCATTAAATCTACATTTAGTTCAGCTTGCTTTAATTTCCAACATAGTAAATTGTTGACCTAAAATTTAGCAATTATGTTCCGCAAATTACTATATTATACAAGATTGTAACTAATTATACAAGATAATATAAAAATATATAAAAGTATTGTTTACCGATGCAATTATGTGGTCTAACACTGAACGGTATATAATATATAAGTAAGAGTAACGATTTCGGTTCTTCTCAGGCAAAAATTTATCTGGATCAAATTACTTCGTTTGGCTAAAGATTGGGATCTTTATTAATTCCATAAATATTGATTTATATAATTGTCCCATCAGGTACTACTAATATGATT